ACCACTCCCGGGCTCTGAGTCTTCTTCGCTTGGTGGTTCCCCATCTGCTTTCTGCCACCATCCTTCTGTGTCCAACCAGTTCATGACACATACATAAACTGGGCTGCTTGAATTGGAACTGTTGAACTGGAATGTTGATGTTTAACTTCCCAGTGTCCTATGTTATTTAAAAGGCATGTCGCTGGACCCCTATTGTTGACAAAGAGCGCCCAACAGACCTGTGTAACCAGGACCAGATTTAGGTTTGATGAGGCCCTAAGGTACTGAAGGTAATGGGGCCCTTCATGTGTCCAGCTGTCCTTTGTCAACAACAAATTATCACTGTTTTTTGTGTTGAATTTATGCTTAATAGTAATTTATGGACCAGTCCATGCAGAATATAGGCACCCTATATATTGAAATGAACAAACCAATGATATTTTAGGGAGCAGTCTAGCAGATGGGGCCCATTATTTACAGCATAGGAGCCTACACAACACAAAACACTGTTGCTGTATGTAAGTTTTATTTTATTTGTTTTTTATCGTATATTTTGGAAATATACATCCAGGTTTTTTCCCTTTAATTTTTTTGGGGGGCCTCCAAAAGAATGGGGCCCTAACCTATAGCTTGTTTAGCTTATACGTAATTCCAGCACTGTGTGTAACGGATATAAGACTCATCACCAACCAGTACAGGTGACCACCTCTGCATCCCCCCAAAAAATGCATAGCCAAAGAAGATGGATAGATTTGTAGAACACTTGCATATGCATAGATGCATATTTAGAAAGAATTCCTGTAATTTAAACAGAAATGCAGTATTTCACACCTGAAGAGGGATGTCTGTGACTAGGTCACCTGTGTGCCTGTTCAGTGCATTGTTCTGTTGCTAACTGTTGATGGACAGCTTAAGGGTCGCAGCTCTCCCTAATTATACTTCTTTAAACGAGGTTGCCTTTCTCATGCTAGGAGCTTTCAAATAAAGGATTGCCTTCTGTAAAGTAACACACATGGCCTCCCAACAGCCCAGTGTGCATTGTAGCACTTAAATAAAATGTAGTGCCTGCCTAATTTTGGTCATACACCCTATTAGCGTATCAGAATTCCTCTGTGAATAGAGAATGCAGACTGTAAAAATGACACCTGGGAAAGGGGCAGGCAGATTTGCGCTCCCAATTGTGCTCTTAAATGTTGTGCAGTCTGTGGAGATGCAGCATGTTCACCCCGAACAGGCAGACAGTTCCATGATTTAATAATCTGTGTCTCAACCAGAACATCAGATAGATGTTGGGAGAGAGTATTCAGGCTTATCGTGCATTGCGACCAACCTGCAGCCAATCTGTCAGAAATTAAGGCCATGGAAAAGCCAGGGGAAAATCATTCCATTTTGATTACTTAAGGCTGATAAAGCTGGTACAAAATTGTTTTCTTATTCTCACTTAGAAAGATAAAATAAAGGACTTTTCTTTAACCAAGGGAGCCCATTCTACTACTGAAAACATTGCAAAGGGAATATGTGTCTTTTCTAATACCCATCTAAACACAGACACCAGCCCATGGTACAGTTAATTTTTATGAATAAGATACTTGGCTGGTGAAAGGTGTAATTATCTTTTGGATTCCCTTGAGTTCCAAAGTTTTGCAAATCAGATTTGCTTGCCATTCATTGTTCCATTGGTATTAAAATCCTCCAAAGGCTTGTCAAATTGCAAATAGCTAAATATTCAGGTGTTGTTGAATACACACTTTTTTTCCTCCCTTTTTTGCACAAGAAGTCTTTCCTTTCCTTTTCTGGAAAATGTCAATACAAAAATTATCCTTTAACAAAGCATAGAGTTACCTAAAATATGCAATATATGCAGGTAAATTTAGGGGGAAGAGAATATCATTTAAATAGAATTGTAATATATTTCAACATAAATGGGAAGATGGTGACCAAGTAACTTTTGCTGGCTCGGTTAGCACTGAGACTGTTGGTAGACAACTTCAAGGTCTACTCTACACCATTCAGGAGACAGTCAGGTGTCATTTTGATGCTAAATCGATTTCAAATTGAGCAACCCTAAATCCCTGATTAAAACAAATAAACTGCAGGAGTTTTACAATATAGAGTTGGCATGCTTACCCTCAGCTGTAAAGAAATGTGTCAGCATTGTGTTAGAAATGAAGTTGGAATTTGACCATAAGAACAAAGGAACACTTGCAGTCCTGTGGCTTTAAATGATTGGTTTAGGGTGTAATCCTAACCCCAGCTAGGCAGCAATGGTGTTTAACAGAGCAGTGGGGTCACTTCTGCATCTGCAGCCCTGCTGCTCACGCCGACCAGGAAAAACAGACTGTTTTGCTATGTCAGGTCCAAGCTGGTCATAGCTGTCAACTTTTCCCTTTTCTTGCGAGAAATCCTATTCGGCATAAGGGAATTTCCCTTAAAAAGGGGGGGAAGTTGACAGCTATGAAGCTGGTGCAGCAAACAGACCAACATCAGGCCCCATGGTGTAATTCACAGCTAATTTGGCCATTTAAAGAACCTGTGGCTCCTTGACCACCACAAGACCTCCCATTCCATTCCCTGCTTCCCAAAGCCCCCATTTTGGATCTTAATACTTCCTGTTATCAGGGGAGATGCTGCTGGCAGCAGTTTCTACCCATCCATGATTCCAGCAGATGGAATGGGGATCTCCACAGCTGTGGAACTTCCGTATCACAGCCAGGAAGACCTGAGGAGAGAGGGGCTTCATTGATTCATCCAAAACTTCTCCTGCACGGCAGTTAAGGAATTTGGGCTGCTCTGCCCATCCATTTTGAAAGTCATTTATTCAGTCATGGCTTAGAATAAATTGTCAGTGCTTAAAATGACTACAAGCGTCACTTGGATGAATGTTAATCTGCCACAACATAGTTAGATTTGGTCTGAATGTGCGACCCCCTGCTGTTGTGAGTTTGTTGACTGATTGCTGTAAACGGGCCTGTCACTATGGCTTCACCTTCAAGTGATGCCTGATTAGATTCCAAGATTTGATGAAATAACATTTAATGTCCTTTAATGGCATGGGGAATTCACATGCAAGGACAGGACCTAAGATGACTGCCAGTTGGATTGCGTGTGAGGCAGTTTCGAAGACAAAGAAATGGGAGGGGGAGCGCTCCAAGTTGGCTGAAGCTAATACTCCACAGAGATCTAGGGATCTGATATCTACTGCTTTGCAGGTGTTCCTTGTAGGTAAGGATGCCAAGTCCACTGTGCTCCCTCATCTCCTCAAAAGTTGAACTTTGCAGTGCTGTTCCTGGAATCAGATCCACATCATATGTGATGCTTTTGCTAAACATGTCATGGCAAATGGTGTCACTCTTTACCTTTGGTAATTCTTTTGCATCTAACTGCAGTCAGTGCACATACATCAGTGGATGGTCTAGCATTGGAACACATCAAGGGTTGGATGAGAACTGCATCCTCACTTTGGCTCCAAGTTGTGCCCTTCACATGAGAGTAGAAATGGGCTTCTGTCATTGTTCCTGAGCCTGCACTCATTCCCCAGAGCCCTGCCATACTTTCTCTGTACACCCAGCCCCTGTTGTTGTTTAGTTGTTTAGTCATGTCTGACTGTTCGTGACCCCATGGACCAGAGCACGCCAGGTACTCCTGTCTTCCATTGCCTCCTGCAGTTTGGTCAGACTCATGTTGGTAGCTTCGAGAACACTATCCAACCATCTCGTCCTCTGTCGTCCCCTTCTCCTTGTGCCCTCCATCTTTCCCAACATCAGGGTCTTTTCCAGGGAGTCTTCTCTTCTCATGAGGTGGCCAAAGTATTGGAGTCTCAGCTTCAGGATCTGTCCTTCCAATGAGCACTCAGGGCTGATTTCCTTCAGAATGGATAGGTTTGATCTTCTTGCAGTCCATGGGACTCTCAAGAGTCTCCTCCAGCACCATAATTCAAAAGCATCAATGCTTCGGCGATCAGCCTTCTTTATGGTCCAGCTCTCACTTCCATACATCACTACTGGGAAAACCATAGCTTTTACTATACAGACCTTTGTTGGCAAGGTGATGTCTCTGCTTTTTAAGATGCTGCACCCAGCCCCTATTTACCCTCAAAACACCGAAACTTCTCTGGGGAGCCTTTTTGGAACCAGCCTCAGCTTTGATGTTTGTTTTGCTTTGCCCCACAGTTCATATGCCTTGGCTTTTTCACAGTGAGATCCTGCTTCTTTCTGAGAGGCCTGGCCCCTGAATGCCAGCCCAGTCTTCTTAATGGTAAAGAAGGGCACATGCCATTGAATTATCTGTCTCTTAAAAAGGCACTCCAGTTATTAAGCAAGTGCTGAAACATTTGAATGGAGGAAGCAGTTAAGATAGGAAATCCTCTCCTCTAAATGCTCATTCACAATTACAGATGGGACCCCACAAGGCAAGGGTCAACCTGGGGGCAATTTGTTTTCAGTTTATTTGCTTTAGGGAGGGAAATATAACTGGTCAGAAAGGTGCAAGGTAGAAATGGACAAATACGTCTACCTGATTTCTTTAATTTTGTCATTTTTCAAATCATAAGTTCAGTTTGCCACTTCCACATCATTTTGTGGGTTGTATTTATTTATTTTAATGCTCCCGAAAACTCACCAGCATTTTAGTGTGAATTTCTCATAATAAACACATTTTTTCTCTCCAAACAATTTCCCCTAATATATAATGTTTCTCTTAATTTATGCATTTCAGGAATGATTTATCCTACCTAGTATATGCATTTTCGCACATGTAACTTGCACTGCAAAATTCAGAGAAGTGTGCATTTTGAGGAATGGCTATGTTTCGATTTGTGTCTTGCTTTGAAAAGTGTGAATTAGGTAGATTCACCTATAAATGTGATTTAAATTTCTCCCCAACCATATTTGCAATTTATTTCAGAAAACAGAGAATCTATCCCCAAACTTATTTCTCCCTCCCCCAACACCTTGCCACTTCCCTGTAGCAATGTGTGAGGGGTTGAGGTGGATACACATCAGTGATATTTATGTAACGCTCACCCAAATCACAAATCCCACATCCTGCTTCCTATCTGTTGATTGTAGCTGCACACTGTTTTTCCTCCCAAAGCAATTCTCCTTCTGATGGGGAGGGCAGATGCAACATATAATTGCATTTGTTCTGTTTAAATCCATTCCAGTGTCATCTGCTTGCTTGAAAGCATCTTTGTAGCAGCAAGTGGTAAGATGAACCTTGTGCACGGACTCATTGTTTTGCTGATTTGGACTTATGCCTTAAGAAAAGAAAAGAAAAACTATAAAAATGTACTCTTCATTCTAATTTAATTACACTTTGTGTAAAGGAAGTCTGCCTAGATAGCATCTGTACTAATTTGTTCTTCAGTGTCAATGAGATTCTGTTGTTATTTCTTTTCAATTAGCAAATTGTGCATTAAACAACTCATTTCGTTTATATATCTCACAAGCCGCAGGTCATGTTTCTCCTCAATACATTCTTTCACCTTTTTTTAAGTTTAAAAAGAATCATTAAAAAGTTCATTTATTTATTTGAAATGTTCTTTATCGCATATTTTTCATCAAAAACACCCCCTCACTCACCCCTATGAGACTAAAAGCAAAATAGATGAACAATGATTACAACAGCAAATAAAAACAAATGAACAACTTCAACAAACTTAAAGGTAAAGGTAAAGGGACCCCTGACCGTTAGGTCCAGTCGCAGACGACTCTGGGGTTGCGGTGCTCATCTCACTTTACTGGCCGAGGGAGCCGGCATACAGCTTCCAGGTCATGTGGCCAGCATGACTAAGCCACTTCTGGCGAACCAGAGCAGTGCACGGAAATGGTGTTTACCTTCCCACCAGAGCGGTACCTATTTATCTACTTGCATTTTTATGTGCTTTTGAACTGCTAAGTTGGCAGGAGCAGGGACCGAGCAATGGGAGCTCACCCCATCGCAGCAATTTGAATCGCCGACCTTCTGATCAGCAAGCCCTAGGCTCTGTGGTTTAGACCACAGTGCCACCCACTTAACTTAAAAGCTACTAAATCCCAAATTCAGTAACATACAGTCAATAATTACACCTCTTCAACTTAATGTCAGGTGTTTGCTTCAAAACATCTTTGTAGCACCAAGTGGCCATATAACCAAGAGTCACACTTTCCTTCCTTGGATTTGAGCACCTTTTCATTCAAGGAAAGGCCATAGTTCAGTAAGTAAATTACATGCTGTCAATGCAGAAGTTCTCTTATTTCGGCACTGGCATCTCCAGGTGGGACTTGAAAAACCCTGGAGAACCATTTCTAGCCAGTGTAGATGTCACTAAGGTAAATTAGCCATTGCTCTTGGCTTTGTATGAGGCACCTTCCTATGTGCCAATGAACATGGAAAACAAATGTCTGCTGAAAGAGCCACATCTTCAATTGCTTGCCAAAAGGCGGCCAGTGATGAGGTCAGATAGGCCTCTGGCGGGAAGTTTCCACAGTGCAGGTGCAGGTCTAAAAATGCCCTAGAGCTCTTTGTGCCTCTTGTGTATACAATGAAAAAAAGGCCGCCCATATTCACTGCACTGTTGGGTCATAGTGAATGCAGAAAAGTACTGTACTGTACCAATCTGGTGGCAGGGGTCAGATAAGCACCAGTCAAGTCACGGGGTTAATTTTAAGTCAGCTATTTGATACCAATTTTAAGTTTATGTAAAGTATGTGGCATTTTGTTAAAGGTTATTGTTCATGACAGAAACTGTCAGAGGATGCATACAGGAAAGAGCAGGCAAGCATAACTTCAATTGTCTGCTTCATGGGAGGGGGAAACCCACAATATATTTCTAAAAGAAATGGAGAGGATTAATTTCATACTTAGCGAAATCCATTAAAATCTGAAATCCTTTCTCTCCCCCCCCCCCCACCGCTCCTTTCTCAGCACAATTCTTTCAAGCACATTCATTTGTCCGAGATAAAATTTTACTCCTATTTGAATCAGTGGCAAGTGCCTTTCTGAACGCTACAGTTAAAAAGTGCAGTCACCTGAATAGCTCTGCCATGGAATAATTTTGTGATTATAATGTGTTAAACAGAGGTCATGTAGCAAAGTGCATTGAATATTTAAAATTGGAATCTTGAGATGCCCTACAACTTGACTCCAAGAACTTTCATTGCCCTGAGCTATTCTTGCCGGGTGGTTATGGAAAAAGCAGTTACTTGGGATGACGGAATCTGTCTTGGCTGCATTCCCAAGCTATGCACATCTCAGGCAAAGGAAGGGGGAAATTAGAATATCTATTGGACCACCTGGGTCCTTTTTACTATTTTTAAAGGAGGAATCCATTTTAGAGGGCGAGGGGAAACTCTGATCCAAACCTATTAGTGTAAAAACTTACCAGACCCTCACGGGGTTTTCGGTGTCATATTAAATGCAGCCTTAATAGGATGAAGCCAAGCTGAAGGGGGATGGTGGTCTAAGATACAGCAACAGGATTGCCTGTTCAGCAGGGCCGGAAGCACTGAGTGCTGGGAGGTGTAGTCTGAGAGGACAAGAAGCAGGAAAGGCAAAAAGGTATTCTGAAGCCTGAGGTACATGATAGTGTGTGAGCTCCAACTCTTGGGGTTCATTTCTCCACCTCAACTGAATTATTCAGAAAGTCTTCCTGCGTCTTCGCAGCAGCAGCAGTTCAACCTTCTCTTGGTGAATTCCCATGACAGGAATAACCACCTCACCCATCCAGTTCTTCTCTAAAGTCTTTATTATTTACATTAGAAGTTGAATAACACTACTGGTCTACGTATAAATTAAGATGCAGAACTATGAAAAGGTAAAAGGTAAATGACCCTTGCCAGTTAAGTCCAGTCAATGGCGACCATGGGGTGCGGCGCTCATCTTGCTTTCAGGCCAAGGGAGATAGCATTTGTCCACAGACAGCTTTCCGGGTGGCCAGCATGACTAAACCGCTTCTCGTGCAACAGGACACCGTGACAGAAACCAGAGCACACGGAAATGCTGTTTACCTTCCCGCCACAGCAGTACTTATTTATCTACTTGTATTGGCATGCTTTCAAACTGCTAGGTTGGCAGGAGCTGGGACAGAGGAACAGGAGCTCACCCCATCATGGGGATTCAAACTGCCGACCTTCTGATCAGCAAGCCCAAGAGGCTCAGCGGTTTAGACCACAGTGCCATCCACGTCTCTCTGATGCAGAACTGTATAGAGATCTCTGCTCCTTTCAGCCATCCGGCCAGAGAGACAGGCTCACAGACTTTCACATATTCTGGCAGACACACTGACCAACGCCGAGTGTCTAACCCTCCACTGCATCTCTCCTTCTCCAGACATGCCCTGATAAAGGCACTTGTTGCTGAACAGAAGTTTTAGACATGCCTCAAGGGTGTGCTTCAAGGGTGTGTTTCAAGGCTCATTGCAAGTTTATTTTGGCAATACACCAACAGTGCATGTGCAGGTACTGATGTTGCCCATGAAGCAAAGCCTGGCAATGCCACATAGAAAAGCTTTGCTAGATCAGGTCAAAGGCCCATCTAGTCCAGCAATTTGTTCCCGTACACTGATAGAAAGGCACATTACCTCTAACAGTGGAGGTGGAACATAGCCATCACAGTAGTAGTCATAAATAATAACAATAATAATAATAATAATAATAATAATAATAATAATAATTTGTATTATTTATACCCCACATATCTGGCTGTGTTGCCCCAGCCACTCTGGGCAGCTTCCAGCATATATAAAAACAAAATAAATCATCAAACATTAAAAACTTTTCTATACAGGGCTGCCTTCACATGCCTTCTAAAAGCTGTATAGTTTTTTTATCTCCTTGACATCTGATGGGAGGATGTTCCACAAGGTGGGTACCATTGCTGAGAAGGCCATCTGCCTGGTTCCCTGTGACTTCTCGTAGCAAGGGAACCACCAGAAGGCCCTCAGAGCTGGACCTCTGTGCCCAGACTTCTCCAGGGCAACAGATAGCATCTGAGCAACACCAGTGAAGTCTCACTCGGTACAGAAGCCTTTACACACACACAGTGTTTGAGCATGCCTTTGGATCCAGAGATCTTTGGTCAGACTTCATGATATCTGGCATGATGGCCATTGGCAATGGCCCAGCTGAAATTCTCTTGCAAATTCTGCCCAGCCATACCATCAAATATTCTGGCAAATTACATTTGGGGTTGATTGTGCTGGCAGCCCTGAGAGCAGCCAATCGATAGACAGCATGCAAATATCACGGCCTCCTTCCCTATGACACATTAGGAAAATTCTACTGTTAGCTGTGGGTGGTCAGTTGATGACCTCATATCCTGTCTTTTTTTGTAATGTGAGGTCATACTACAGTTCTCCACAGGAAATGTGCGAAGCATAGCACAAACAGAAATAGTCTTTGTTCTCACCACTTCAGTAATTCAATAGGACTGTGTGAAAAAGTCAACAGAATCTCCCCCCCCCTTTTTAAGTGTTGTTCTGTAACAGAAAGGTACAGAAAAAGGTCTCCCATTTCCCTCCTTAATCTTTTACATTCCTGCTAAGAAAGCATGATTTATTTGCTATGTTGTAAATTAGTAGAAAAATAGTGTTCTGGTTTTAATCTAAGAGTATCAACTCCATCTACATTAGAGTGATTTCCACCCCCCTTTGCTAAAGTTTATGTGGCTTTCCTGCTTCCTACAGGACATTATAGATTACCATGACTCGAGGTAAAATGTTGAGTGGTGTGAACTTTTTCTACAGAATGAAGAGCCATTGTGGGGTAGAACAGGGGTCAGCAAACTTTTTCAGCAGGGGGCCAGTCCACTGTCCCTCAGACCTTGTGGGGGGCCAGAGCATATTTTGGAAAAAAAAATAATGAATGAATTCCTATGCCCCACAAATAACCCAGAGATGCATTTTAAATGAAAGGACACATTCTACTCATGTAAAAACATGCTGATTCCCAGACTGTCCGCAGGCTGGATTTAGAAGGCGATTGGGCCGGATCCGGCCCCTGGGCCTTAGTTTGCCTACCCATGGGTTATAGTGTTGGACTAGGACCTAGGAGATCAGGGTCAAAGTCACACATGAGTAAAAGTGGATCACCTGGTGTCATCGTGACATTAGGTGATTGATCCATGGGTAGCTCTAGACACCTGCCAAACTTTGGGTGGGGGAGATAAAGATCTATTGCACCACCTGGATCCAGTTTTCCACCCCCGGCCTGTATGCACACGTGAGTTACCCCAACAGACGATCTGTTTTATTTACTTGGAGATTACCATTATGAGATG